AACATCTCAATGGCAATGGAAATGGAGCTCTCCACGTGAATGCAACTCCCCAAGTTAACGACATCTTCGTCTCCGAAAATTTGGTGAACCTGAACAGAATCGGAATCGAAAACTTGGCCAGACTGGAGAACAGGAAAGAGCCTTGGCTTGTGGTTGTTTACACACCTTGGTGCCAATTCTGTCAGGTAAGAATCATTTTGCACAAAAGCGTTTCAGCTTATCATCTGCAAGATCCCACATCGGTTGGGGAGGAGAACGAAACACCCTTAATAAAGGTGTAGAAACCTCTCCCTAGCAGACAACGTTCCTTGAAATTAAACCCTCCTCCTAAAGAGACAATATCTGCTAGCGATGGGCTTAGGCTGTTACAAATGGTATCAGAGCTAGAGTCTCTTCCCCAAAAGGGGTAGACACAAGGCGGTGTTCCAGTAAGGATGTTGGGCCCTGAAGGGGGTGGATTGTGAGATCCCACATCGATTCGGGTGGATTGTGAGCTCAAAAGAGACAATATCTACTAGGGGTAGGTTGAGCCTTTACATAATCCACCATCCTACTTAAAAGGGCTAATGTTTGATGAATTTCTACAGGCTATGGAAGGGTCATATGTGGAATTGGCTGAGAAGTTGGCAGGAAATGGAGTGAAAGTTGGGAAGTTCAGAGGCGATGGTGAGCAGAAGGAGTTCGCCAAACAAGAGCTGCAGCTAGGATCCTTCCCCACAGTACTCTTTTTCCCCAAACACTCGTCTAAAGCAGTGAAGTACCCATCTGAGAAGAGGGATGTTGACTCGTTGATGGCTTTTGTGAATGCCCTTCGATGATGATACAGTGTGATAGCCATTAACAAAGGAAATTCACAGAGGTTCCAGTCTTTTGTTGGATTTTATATATATGTCTGAGGAAGGATAATAATATGTCGACTGCGATGGAAGTTGTTGAGATCAAAATCAACGCTTGGGGATCTTTTTGGAGCTTTTAGAGAATCCGGTCCCGAAATCATCCGATTATGTGTTTGTATAGATATCAATTTTCCCGTAGGGCTCCCAGGACCATGATGTAGTAATGGTCCAAGGCGTAAGCACAACGAGATTATAAATTTGTTTTGTGTGAGGATTTCTTTGATCTTGAGACCCTTGTAGTAATCATATTTTATCTGAGTTTAATAATATACACATAGGCTTCTAAATATTTTGATGGTACAAGGACTTCACTTTAATTCGAAAGTAAAAGACCCCGTCCCAATGAAGATATATTCAATTAGTCGATGAACGAACCAAGTACACCATAGAGCAGCCTTTAGAGAATAGAGAATTGTAACAATAGATAATTGTAACGGTCCAAGCCCACTGAACAAATATTGTTCTCTTTGGACTTTTTTTTTCGGGTTTCCCCTCAAGGTGTTATGAAACCTCTCTTGAGGCCTATGGAGTCTCGAACAACCTCTCATTAAACAAGGCTCAAGAGAAAAGCTCAAGCCCACTGCTAGTCGATGTTGTCCTATTTGAGCTTTCTCTTTTGGGTTTTTCATCGGAAGTTTTAAAACGTAGGGGAGGTTTTCACACCCTTACAAGAAATGTTTCGTTCCCCCAACTCACAGCCCAAACCCACTGCTAGTTGATCGACATTGTTCTCTGTGGACTTTTTCTTTCGGGATTCTCTTTTAAGGTTTTCTAACATCATAGAGGTTTCTACACCTTTACAAAAAAATGCTTCGGTCCCCCTCTCCAACCAGGGACCTCACAATCCACTCCCCTTGGTGGCCAACGTCCACACACCGCCCGATGTCTACTCTAATACCATTTATAACCGCCTAAGTCCACTACTAACATTTATTGTCCTACCTAGGCTTTCCCTTTGGAGCTTCCTCTAAGATTTTAAAACTTAGGTATCTATTGAGATTTTCACTCAAGATTTTATAACATTCGGGTCTACTAGGGAAATGTTTTCACATCCTTATAAGAAATGTTTATTGCTCTTCTCCAACCAATATGACATCTCACACATTATATTTAGATTATGATTTGATATTTAATCTTTCGAGAGAAGACGTAGGCGGTAGCGCCCACACACCGAAGGAAAGACCGAAAAGGCAGCAGCCAGCCAAGACCCACCCACCAAATACATGTGTTAGTGACAAAGAATGGCATAAGGTAGGGAGAATCTCCCATGTTTTTATGTTCCCGTTGAATGATTAAAAAGTAGAAACTCTTTTGGGATTTCCATATCATAATTATTGATTCAAAAGTTCGTCTTCTCTTTTCAATTTCTCAACCAACTATTTCTCAAACCATTTCTTTTTGTGTTTTTTTGTTGCCATGTTGAGACTTGGAGAGCCACCACCACCAACAAGTAAAAGAAAACTGTGAGGCAGGCAGGTGGTTGGACCAAAATTCACTTAAAAACTCTCTTTTTTAACTTAAAACGTGCTGCACAAGTTACGAGATCGTTATAGTTAACTTTGAAGTTCTTATGATTGAACAAAAAAGAATGAGAAACTCTTTGTTGGTGGTAAGTTGGTCGTGAATAGTACTCTAACTCTAATGGTTGAGCTGGGTATGTATGCATACCGATCTTTTAACAACCTAAGCCCACCACTAACAGATATTGTCCGCTTTGACTCATTACGTATGGTCATCAGCCTCACGGTTTTAAAACGCCTCTACTAAGGAGAGGTTTCCACACCCTTACCAGAAATGTTTCGTTCCCCTCTCCAACTAACGTGGGATCTTATAATTTACCCCCTAGGGCCCAGTATACTCACTTGCATACCATCCAGTGTCTAACTACCCAACCCCACCGCTAGTAGATGTTGTCCGTTTCAGCCCATTACGTATTATCATCAACTTCATGATTTCAAACCGCATCTATTAGGGAGAGGTTTCCATACCCTTATAAGGAATACTTCGTTTCGTCATGAGCTTCACAGTTTTAAAATACATCTACTAAGAAGAAATTTCCACACCCTTATAACAAATGCTTCATTCAACTCCCCAACCAATATATGATCTTTAGTACGAGGTCTTCACACTCTTAAAAATTGCATACCTAAGTCCTTCAGCCCCAAAAAGGAATCTTCATTCTTCGTTAGTACAAGTATTTTCCGTCTTTCTTAACTATAATTTCATATCTTCAGAACTAGCCTTACCAACTTTTACCTTGATTCGTCCCAAACCCCATCTTACTAGAAGAAGTTCCACGATGATATCATACGATTCCGACGGTGATTTAGTTAATGATAACATATAAGAAGTAGAAGGAAAAGATTGTTTTAATTCTTCCCCAACCTGCCTAATTATTAGACCAATTAAGAAGCTTGGTTGCTCATTTCTGGTGACAGCATTGAATAATATAATTGAGTTGCCTTCAGAATCGTACCTACTTTTGGTAAAAGGTATCCAATGCCTGTTTCTGGCACTCACTCAGAAACTTGATCTTGAAATTCGAAGAACTCATGAACCCATCTCAGAAAAACTCTGACTCACGGACTCACGTGATTCTCTTACGCCCACTTGTGACTCTCTGCTATGTACAAACCCACACACCTTTGTTTGTCCTTTTTTAGTAAAACAAAACCTATGGTTGTTGTCTCAAAAGCATGACTTTCTTACCGTATTCGAACCAAGTAAGACGGCTAATAACGACTTAAAAGAATTGATAATTACTATCTATATCAATGATGTATATCTTCGTTTTCAATGGCTCAATATAGGAACTTCAAAGTTAAGTGTGTATTAGGTATCACGTTCGTACTCTTAAAGTAGCGAGACATTGATTGTGCGACACTTATTCTATCCCGATGAACAGGGACAAAAGTATTTTAGAAAATGTGAGGGAGGAAATGGGTTGAAAACAATCTGTAAGAAAGCAATGTTACATGCTGAAAGCAAACATGTAACTCAAATAGGAAGAATTAACGATTAGTCATATTCTTTTGTTACCGTACATTTTGAGACATTTTTACCCAGATGGGTGTAGATATGATTTTAGTTAATAGTCATATATAACCCTGTATTGACACGATATGAATAGTAAAGACCTGATTGCACATGGAAGTAAGTAAAAGGGGTTTGGAATCGGTATACGACCATTGACAACACGTCCTGGACAAGTATGACTGAGATATCCGACATGCGGCCACAGATAGTAGGCACCAAACTCGAATAGTTGTATGTTGACAGTACAAAGTTAAACATGTTTGGTTTGAAATAGTTCGATGTTGAATGGAAAGAATTAACGACTAGTCACGTTCCCTTGTTACAGTATATTTTGGGGCATTTTTATTCAGATGGGTGTAGACATGATTTTAGTGAATAGTCATATATAACCCTGTATTGACACGATATAAATAGTAAAGACTTGTTGCACATGGAAGTAAGTAAAATGGGCTTGGAATGGGTATACGACCATCGACAACAGGTCCTGGACAAGTATGACTGAGACATCTGACATGCGGCCATAGACAGTAGGCTCCAACAAAGTTATTGAAACAGTTCGACGTTGAGTGACCTCCTAAGAAACATGTTAGAAAACATGTAGAAGGAGGAGATAAAACATGTTAAAAAAACTCGTGTTGGTTTGTTGAGATAGGCTTCACTTGTAAGAACTCGGGTATGGGATTGTTCGTTAGAAACATTAAATGTTGGAGTAAATTAAGCAGAGTGAATATGGTGTGGATTAAAACAAGGCGTCATAAATAAAAACAAACGCAGTAATGTCTCTATGTTGTGTAAGGGACAGCCTGGTTTTCCTCAAGAACAATCTAACGTGTCTAGAACGGACACTTTTTCGAATCCCATGTGAATTTACAATCCTCTCCTCAACACACACTCAAAACTTCCAAAAGAGTCCTCCCTTTTTCCCCCTTTTTCAGCCAACCATCGTGTCGGAAGGGAAAGGAATCATAGCCATTGAAAGAATACCAAAAACTTGAGCACTAAGTCCACCAAAAAGAACAGTTCTTTATTGGCCCACGAGGGCTTTTCAGTAACTTCATCATCTTGATTATTATGGTTCATTGTAATTTCTGTAATCAAATCAAAAAATCCCAATCCATTTGGGTTTTTTGTTGTTGGCCTTTCCAATTTGTAGATCAGTATAAATTGATGAAGATTAGATGATGCGAGGATCTTTAGCTGAAACAGAGGCGAAGAATGATGTAGCTGAGCTCAAGCTTCAATGGCAGAATCTAAATCTTCTCTGTTCTTTCTCTTCCTTTTTGGGTTTCTTACAGTTTGTAGAGGTAATGATGTCTTGAAACGCACATGAAATTCGCTAAAAAGTTGAAGAACATTCTGTTCTGTTCTGTTCTGTTCTGTTCTTCTGATCTTTCTTATTTGGGGGTTTTTTGCAGGTCGATTTCCGCCATTGATGGACGGGAAGAACATGGAGAAGGACGATAATCAGCCATTTGTTGGGGTTAATATTGGGAGTGACGTTTCGAATCTAATGTCGCCTTCAGACTTGGTTTCGTTCTTGCATTTTCAGAAAATCACTCATATTAGGCTTTACGATGCGAATCCTGATATCCTCAAAGCCCTAAATGGGTCGAAAATTCGTGTCATTATCAGTGTACCCAACAATCAGCTTCTTGCAATTGGATCTTCCAATGCTACCGCCGCCGCGTGGATCGCCCGGAATGTGGTGGCGTACTATCCCCAGACCCTAATTTCCGGCATTTCCGTCGGCGATGAGGTTTTAACCACTATCCCCTCTGTTTCCCCTTTGTTGCTTCCTGCTATTGAGTCCCTTTACAGTGGTTTAGTTTCTGCAAATCTTCAAACCCAAATCACCATTTCTACTCCCCATGCTGCTTCGATTATCCTCGACCCATTTCCGCCGTCACAGGCGTTCTTCAACCAGAGCTTGGTTCAGTTCATGCTTCCTCTGCTTCGGTTCCTTTCAAGAACTGGGTCGCCATTGATGATGAACTTTTACCCTTATTATGTTTTTATGCAAAACAAAGGGGTTGTTCCTCTTGATAATGCGCTGTTTAAGCCCTTGATTCCTTCTAAAGAAATGGTTGATCCCAATACTCTGCTTCACTACACTAATGTTCTTGACGCCATGATTGATTCTGCTTATTTCTCGATGAAGAATCTCAATATCACTGATGTTGTGGTTCTCGTCACTGAAAGTGGGTGGCCTTCAAAGGGCGATTCGAAAGAGCCATACGCCACAATCGACAACGCCGACACGTTCAATTCGAATCTAATCAAGCATATTCTCGACCGGAGTGGTTCCCCATTTCACCCTGAAATCACTTCCAGTGTTTACATCTACGAGCTGTTCAATGAGGATTTACGGTCGCCGCCGGTGTCGGAGGCGAATTGGGGGCTGTTTTATGGGAACTCCACGCCGGTTTATTTGCTTCATGTGTCGGGAAGTGGGACGTTTTTGGCTAATGATACTACGAACCAGACGTATTGTATTGCCATGGATGAGTTTGATACTAAGACATTGCAGACAGCTTTAGATTGGGCTTGTGGACCTGGGAAAGCTAATTGTACAGAGATTCAGCCGGGTGAAGCTTGCTATCAGCCTAACAATGTGAAGAACCATGCCTCTTATGCATTTGATAGCTATTACCAGAAGGAAGGGAAAAGTGCTGGATCTTGTGATTTCAAGGGCGTGGCTATGATCACCACCACTGACCCAAGTGAGTTTCATTTCTTTGCTTTAACTTTCAATGAACACTGGTTTCTGGGTTGCTATTGTTTCACTTACTTTGCTCTTGGAATTATGCCTATTTTCAAATGGTTTGATACTGTGAAGCCATTAAACAAAACACCACAACTGAATGATACACATTAGGCTCACTTATCTTCGACCAAATGATCTAAGGTTCGAATCATCACCCACCACGAAAGAATATGGAACATACAAGTAAAAGCCAACATATCTAATATTACACCATTCTAGATCTCACCTTAGTTGGAGAGGGAAACGAAACATTCCTTATAAGGGTGTGGAAACCTCTTCTTAGCATATGTATTTTAAAATCGTGAGGTTTACGGCGATTCGTTACGAGGCAAAGCGGACAATATCTGCTAGTGGTGGGTTTGGACTATTACAAATGGTATTAGAGCCAGACATCGAGTAGTGTGCCAGTGAGAACACTGGGTCTCAAGGGAGTAGATTGTGAGATCCTACATCGGTTGGAGAGGGGAACGAAACATTTCTTATAAGGGTGTGGTAGCCTCTCTCTAGTAGACGCGTTTTAAAACCGTGAGGTTGATGATGATACATAACAGGCCAAAGCGGACAATATATGATAGTGGTGGGCTTGAGCTGTTACAAATGGTATCAGAGCCAGACACTAATTAGTGTGCCAGCGAGAACACTGGGTCTCAAGGGGGTAGATTGTGAGATCCCACATTGGTTGGAGAGGGGAACGAAACATTTCTTATAAGGGTGTGAAAACCTCTCCTTAGCATACACGTTTTAAAATCGTGAGGTTAACGGCGATACGTAACATTCCAAAGTAGAGAATATCTGCTAGCGGTGAGCTTGGGTGACTGTTACACATAGTATCAGAGCCATACACTGAGCTGTGTGCTAACGAGGACGCTAGGTCTCAAGGGGGTAGATTATGAGATCTCACATTGGTTGGAGAGGGGAACAAAACATTCCTTATAAGGGTGTGGAAACCTCTCCCTAGCTTGATACGTAACAGGCTAATTGGGTTAGATTTTGGTTGCAACATGGGGGCACCCCATGGTCAGTTTCTGCAGCATTAGTATCTAGTAACCTGTGATTTGTGGCATCATGACCAACTTATATGGGGAATGTGGTTGTATTTTGCAGGCCATGGGAGCTGCATATTTCCAGGAAGGTAATAGAAACTCCATAACCGAGTGTTCCTTGAATTCCCAAGCAAAGAACACAGTTTTTTGAGTGCTTAATTATGCAATTCCTTTTGCAGTAAGAAAGTAGGCAATAAAGCTAAAGAGACAGGGAAGAACACAACACAAATCCCTGAAGCCAGTGGAGGAACAGCAGCAGCTCAGAAGGTACTCCATGTTTTTCTGCTTGCACTTTGCTCATTCTTTCTGTTCATCCTTTGATAGCTCCATGGTGAGGAGGCTGATGTAGAAAATTAAAGAGTTTATTTATATATATAATATATATATTTTTTGAAATGTAATATTTTTTTATGAGGAAAGTGGAGGTTGAAAAGTGCTTTTTTTTTTTGGTAGTAAAGGGCTTTTTGTTGAATATGGCCTAAAGTTCAAATATGCATATCTTAAAGGGTATGAAGAGCTAAGTTTGCACATGGTAGAACCTTTTTCAAAGGAATTACGGGGTGAATAAAGAAAAAGATAAAAAGAGTTTATAGATTTTATGTCATATTCTGGACCGACACTAACTATGTTTCTCTTGGAGCCCGCGACTGTCCCATTTGTAACAATTCAAGTTCATTGCTAACAAATGTTGTCTGTTTTGGCCTATTATGTTTTGCCCCATTTGTAACAATTCAAGTTCATCGCTAACAAATGTTGTCTGTTTTGGCCCATTATGTTTTGTTGTCAGCCAAACCGTAAGGCCAGAGAGAGGTTTTCACATCCTTATAAGAATGTTTTCGTCAGTTTTCACACCCTTATAAGAATAGCCAAATCGTAAGGCCATGGAGAGGTTTTCACACCCTTATAAGAATATTTTCGTTGTTTTCGTTGTCTATTTTGGCACATTATGTTTTGCCATCAACCTTACGGTTATTAAACACGCCAGCCAGGGAAAGGTTTTCACACCCTTGTTCGTCAGCCAGGGAGAGGGGTTTTCACACCCTTATAAGGGTGTTTCGTTCTTTATCAGCCTTACGGTTATTAAACACGTCAGCCAGGGAGAGGTTTTCACAGTTTTCACACCCTTATAAAAATGTTTCATTTTTCTTTCTAACTGATGGTGATCTCACCTTTCGAGGGGTTATGGTCGTTTGAGTTCTTTACAAGAACTTCTAGTCTTTCCAAAGGTGTATTTGGTGTTAGACGAACACGCCTCTCTATAATGGTATGATATTGCGCATTTTGAGTACATGCTCTCATGACTTCGGTTTGAGTTTCCATGAAAAGCCTCGTTCCAATGGAGAGAATATTATTGATTATAAATACATATCATTTCCTAAATTAGTGGATGTGAGACTTTCATCTAACATTTATCATCGATTATTAGTCTCTATGATTCGAATACATATCAAATTTTGGACGCAGCCATTATATGCTACATTCTAAAGGGTTCGGGGTTGAATCATATTATTTTAAAATTAAAAAAAAAAAAATGTTTTTATTAATAAATTCTAAAATTAATCAGTGTTATTAATTTGTGATTAAATATTTTTAAAAATTATTTTATATTAATTTTCCTATAAATTTTAGATATATATATTATGGGCGTTGATTTTTCCTCCATCGGCCAAACGACATGTCGTCCGAGCCTAAGTTTGTTTCACGTAGATTAAAACGACGATTGAATCGGAACTCGAAGCGGCAAAAATCGAGCAAATCGTTGATGTTTCAATCAATAGCACATTCACTATCTTTCTCAAGCGCCCGCTTTCTTCATCGCTCGGTGATCAATCGTCGAACGATTTGCAGTCTATCTTTGCCGATGTCTAGTTGGTCCTGCAAAAAATGCACATTCCTCAACCCACCTTCCCAAAAGGCAGCCTGCAAAATCTGTCTGTCTCCTTCATCTCCTCCGCCATCACCGTCTTCTTCCTCCGCCTCTCAATGGTCCTGCAAGGCCTGCACCTTCCTGAACCCATATAAGAATTCCGATTGCGAGCTCTGTGGCACTAGGGCTCCGTCCCTCTCGCTTTCGAGTTTCAAGGATTTGATTGATGTCAGCGAGGATGCGGATGCGGATTCTTCTGTTGGGTCTGTGTTCTTTCCCTTGCAGCCCTGCAAGAAAAGGAAACTAGACGATCCTGTTCCTGTGGTGGGTGGTGTCAATTTCGCGGAATTGGGCGCATTTCGTGGTGTTAAGGCATCGACGAACACTATTGCTGAAATGGGTTAGTCTTATTGCGTTGATTTTGTGTGTCAATATTATTGTTTTTTCAAGAACAATCTAGTTTGAAGTTGTATTAATGGGTTAGTCTTATTGTGTTGATGGGTGGCAGGGGATTCTAGTTCTAGGACAAATTTGACACCCATAAAGATTTTGACTTACAATGTATGGTTCCGAGAAGATTTGGAGATGCGTAATAGAATGAGAGCCCTTGGACAACTTATCCAACGGCATTCACCAGATGTTATTTGTTTCCAGGTACTCCATCCTCAGTTTTATACACGTCTTGTGTGAGAGTAACGAACCATTTCTTTTAAGGGAGTGAAAAACTTTGCCTAATAGACACGTTTTAAGACTATGAGGCTGATGGTGATACGTAACGGGCCAAAGCGAACTATATTTGCTAGCGGTGGGCTTGGATTGTTACAAATGGTATCATAGCCAGACACCAAGCGGTGTGCCAACGAGGACGTTGGGCCCTCAAGGGGGTGGATTGAGATCCTACTTGGAGAGGGGAACAAACCATTCCTTATAAGGGTGTGGAAACCTCTCCCTAGCATACGCGTTTTAAAACCGTGAGGTTGATGACGATACATAACGGGTCAAAACGAACAATATTTGCTAGCGATGGACTTGAGCCGTTACATTTTGAGTTTCTAGAATTTTAGTTTGTGATGCATTCTTTTACGTTTACAATGTGTTGCAGGAAGTTACTCCAGATATATATAACATCTTCCAGATTACCAATTGGTGGAAAGTTTATCGCTGCTCGGTCAAGAAGGATGCTCATTCAAGGGGATACTTTTGTATGCTGGTGAGCTTTATGTTACCTCCTTTGCTTGATATTTCATTTCCTATAAAGCATATTTTGGCTTCTGGGTGAAGTTTAGTTTTTATAGTGGATATGGTTGATGAAATGATGTCAAATGGACTCCCCACAAAACTAGCAAAGAGAGCCTTTCCGGCCAACAACCCAACAACCCAAGTCCACCGCTAGCTAATAATGTTCGTTTTGGCCCGTTACGTATCGTCGTCAACCTCACGGTTCTAAAACGCATTTGTTAGGGAGAAGTTTCCACATCCTAATAACGAATGCTTCGTTCCCTTCTCCAACCGATGTGGGATCTCACAATCCAACCCCTTTGGGCCCTAGCGTTCTCGCTAGTACATTGCCCGATGTCTGGCTCTGATACCATTTGTAATAGCCCAAGCCCACTGCTAGTATATATTGTCTGTCTTGGCCCGTTATGTATCGTTGTTAGCCTCACGGTTTTAAAACGTGTCTGTTAGGGAGAGGTTTCCACACCCTAATAAGAAATGCGTCGTTCACCTTCGACCTTTCCAACCGATATGGGATCTCACAATCCTATCCCCTTGGGGCCAGCATCCTTGTTGGCTCACCACCTGGTGTTTGGCTTTGATACCATTTGTAACAACCCAAGCCCACTGCTAGCATATATTGTCTATCTTGGCCCGTTATGTATCGCTGTTAGCCTCACGGTTTTAAAATGCGTCTGTTAGGGAGAGGTTTCCACACCCTAATAAGCAATTTTTCGTTCATCTCTCTAACCAATGTGGGATCTCACACTCCACCCCCCTTAGGGCCTAGCGTCGTCGCTGGCACACCGTTCGGTGTCTAGCTCTTATACCATTTGTAACAACCCAAACCCACCACTAGCATATATTGTCTGCTTTGGTCCGTTACATATCGTCGTCAGCTTCACGGTTTTAAAACGCGTCTGTTGGGGAGAGGTTTCCACATCCTAATAAGGAATGCTTTTTTCACATCTCCAACTGATGTGAGATCTCACAATTACAAAAGCTAGCATTCTCAACGGCCACAGCAGCCCTTTTCAAAATCCGTGGAGTATAAGCATAGGTTTTGTGTACTGTTTTACATATCTTCTAATCTTATTCTCGTTCTAGTTCTTATGTCGTCTGCACGGAGAGGTGTCGAAAAGTAGAATACGAGAGTGACGAACCTGTTATTGCTCTAGTACTATGCTTCATTTCAACATTTTATATCATAAACTGATGATATAATTTATCCATTCACTGAGCAGTTGAGCAAACTGCCGGTGAAATCCTTCAGTTGTCAACCATTTTCCAATTCCATAATGGGGAGAGAACTCTGCGTTGCCAATCTTGAAGTTCAAAATGGCCTTTCATTGACAGTAGCAACAAGCCATCTTGAGAGTCCTTGCCCTGCACCTCCAAAATGGAATCAAATGTACAGCAAAGAGCGTGTAATTCAAGCCAAAGAAGCCATCGACTTTCTCAATGAAAATCCAAACGTCGTTTTCGGCGGTGACATGAACTGGGACGATAAGTCGGATGGTCAGTTTCCTTTTCCCGACAACTGGATTGATGCCTGGGAAGAATTACGCCCCGGTGAAAATGGTTGGACATACGATACCAAATCGAACAAGATGTTATCTGGGAACCGTACGCTGCAAAGACGTCTGGATCGATTCGTTTGTAAGTTACAAGATTTCAAGGTAAGTTCCATTGTAATGATTGGGACTGATCCAATTCCTGAATTAACATACACAAAGGAGAAGAAAGTAGGTAAAGAAATGAAGATGCTTGAGCTCCCTGTTTTGCCCAGTGATCATTATGGCCTGCTCTTGACCATAAGCAGCCTGTAATCTGTTGTTTTCTTAGTTAGTTTTGTGTGGTGGAAGCCTGCTGGAATCGTTTTTTTTGTTCATTTGCAGTGCTTCAAAATGCATGCTTCATGGTATGCGATTTTGTATGTAGCTTAGAACCAAACAATGGTTCCCAAAATCTTGGATGGTTCCCAAGATCTTGGATGGTTCCCAGCATCAGTGTAGCTAAACTCATTCTAAATCTTGAACTGCTCCTTTGTTCCATCTCTGCTCGTTCTTGTTCAATCTTTTAGTACAAAAGTTATGCATATATTCAGAAGGCTGCAAGAAAAGGGAAACATGACTGAATTTGAGGAAGTTTGCCCATTTTGAGATATGGATTGTTGCCTAACAAATGAGTGAAATTTGACCCGACACGATCACATGGGTCCTTGCTCTGATTGTATTGTTACTTCGAGCAGCAACAACAGAACTAAAGATCGTAGACTGAAGCTTTCTGTTTTCTGTTTCTGATAGAGTTGTTAAACGTTTATTCGTTTAAGATATTGTCCGCTTTGACCTGTTACGTATTGTTGTCAGTTTCACGATTTGTAACGGTCTAAGTCCACTGCTAGTAGATATTGTCTACTTTGGCTTATTACGTAATGTCGTCAGCCTT